AACTAGACAGACATCATGGCTTGATCCTTTCATAATTTATCATTTCAAAAAATCCTCAAGAAAACTTTGGGAGATGCTAAAATATTTTCTCATGGCAGACAGCTTTAAAAGCTCTGAGTAAAAAGTAAAAAATACAAGGTCCTAATTCCCCTTTATTTTTTTAAATACATATATATATTTATTTAATCCCTTTGTGCTTCTTAGCAGATCTAAATGTCCTTGTCCTTCCCTAGAAACTGTTTTTTAGAGTCCAGCCACGTGAATATCTTTCATTTCATTCATAATCTTTGTGAGCAGCCATTGATTTCTACACTCCTGAGATCAGAAGCAGATTTCTTTTTGAGAATTTTTCTTTTCAGGAACTAAGGTCCCACCACATGTACAAATAAAACGTGACAGTTTTAGTGAAAAAGGCTTGAAATCAGATGAGGAATTCACGGGGCTGGACTCTTTCCCCTAAATAATCCCCCCCTCTGAAAACATTTGCCCCTTTCAGCATACAGATGTTGTAGACGTCCCTCACTTCCCTGCATGCTCCCTGCATTATTACCACTGTGCACTTCTCTTCTCAGTCATTTCCAGCGATCAGAGATGGACAGAAAGGTAATAGACACGAGATTCTGTTGAGCTCTGTCGAGATTTAAGGGTTTGTTGTTGAAACAGTAAATGACTGGTTTGAACACTGGTGAATGTGTGTCGTGACATGAGGTGAGAAAAAGTAGGTAAACATTGCACGTGCAGGTCGGTAAGTCATGGTTAAAAAATAGGTTTTCGTCTGTTTAAACCGATGCTCTGAAACTCAGGTGAGACGTTGTGGTCTGTGGGGGGAAAAAATGGAAGTTTGTGGCATGGAAAATGTGGAATCCTGCATCTCTCTCTCATTGGTCTGCTGCATTGCATGCTGGTTTAGCTGTATGATAGTTTATTGCAGCGAGTTTTATTCATTTAGTGTGCATCCACCAACCCCTTGAAGCTTCATGTGCAATTTATTTAAAATAAAGGTGATAGAGGAAGACAAACTTGAAGATTAGGGAAGGTAAATAGGTGCATAATGTATGTTTACAGTTCTAAAAAGGAGAGTACAGGAGGTTTGAAGCATCCATAAGTACAGTCACTAGTTTAGACCAAAACCAAAATTTAAACCACCTCTTATACTTCACTCTGGATCTTTCGTTTCTTTTGATTTCCCAAAAAGAACACTGTGAAGTAAGACAAAAAACCACCATGTTGAGGTTGTTAAAGGCTCCTTTCAATAATGGTGTCATTTGTTTAATGTTAGTCTCAAAACGAATGTGGTGATGATGTATTAATGTTCCCGTGCCGCACATATCGCCTTTACAAATCTCATTAAGTCTTGTTTTTGAAGAAGGGGAATACATGAATAGATTATCAGCTGATCTGATGAGGGTTCGCAGCAGCTCAGGATCCAACGCCGAGGGTTTGTTTTTGGTGGCTTGGCGGGCAGTCTGGCTCTGTTCTGGTGTTTTGGGCATGTCAGCTGGATGGATGATGCTTGGTCTGAAGGAAAAGACAGAACGCTGCCCTGTGTCTGCGCTCTCAACTCTTGTCACCGTCTGAGGGGAAATAAGTGTTGACAACATCCCTTGTTTTCTCTCTCTTTGTGTCTCTATGAACCCCAACCTCTGTCGCACACACTCCCATCTTCCATCCCTCGTTCTCACCTCCCTCCTTCCATCTGTGAATGTTTCTCCTCTTCCTTCCTTCCTTCTATCATCTTCTTCCCCTCCCCTCCCCTCAGTCAGAAGTTGAGTTTTAAGGAGCGGGTCCGGATGGCGAGCCCCCGCGGTCAGAGCATGAAGAGCAGGCAGACGTCCATCAACGACCGCCAGCGCTGTTCCCCCGGCAACGAGGTGGTGGGCAGCGGCGAGCTGATGGGCGGGAGTCCTGCGAAGGTGCAGAAGAGCTGGAGCTTCAACGATCGGACCCGCTTCAGGCCGTCGCTGAGGCTGAAGAGCCAGCCTCGCACTCCTGTCCCAGACGGTGAGCCTCGTGCTGGAACCGACCAGCAACACAGCTGACAAACCGCCTCCTCAGAACAAGATGCCAGTACAGCAGGTTCATGTAGTTTCTTAGACTTGCTGTGCAGCCAGACTTGGTTCAAATTCACACAAATTCATTTCACATCCTAGTGGAGATCCCAAAGTTTCCAAAGATGCCATATGTCAATGCGTCAGGCTGAATTTTGGGAAGATGATGCACATGATGGCTCCGTTTGAGACGATGACGTGTCGAATGGGAAAGAAAATGTATTTGTGGTTTAAATTTTTTACTTGCTGTAGAGAAACAGTCAGTAAAAAGCTGGAACAAGCTCACACAGAATACACAATTACATGCAAAAGTCTGGGCACCCATTGGCAAAATTTTGTTGGGTTTCGAGGTGAAAAGAAGTAAATCTCATCTGTGCAGCAAAAGACCTTGAATGAAAAGGTGAATGCACTCATACAGTGTCTAATAGAAGCATCCACCCTCCTTAAAGCTTTCCCCTTGTATTGCTTTCTATTGCATTAAGTTTAATTTTGATTATTTTGTCAAGAGTTTACTATAAAGACTTTTTCATGTCAAAGTAAGACCGATTCACTCCCTTTAGACTGACCTACAGGTGCAGCCAATTAGTGCTGGAGGTCACACGGTGCTGTAAATGTGAAATGATTGTAGGATAAAGACACTGGTATCTGAAAGGTCCAGTCACTGGGGAATCTATACTCCTGGGTCTTACTACACCATTAAGACAAAAGAGCACTCCACGTAACTCTGTGAAAAGGTTACTGAAAGGCACGAGTCTGGGGACGGATACGAGAAAACGTCCAAGTCGCTGAATATCACCTGGAGTCCAGTTAAATCTACAGAAAGAAATAGAGGGAATGTGGTGCCATGCATAAATCTGCTTAGAGCAGGCCGCAATCAAAAACTGAGTAACTGTGCAAGAAGGAGATGAGTGAGGGAGGCCACCAAGACACCTATGAATCCTCTGAAGGGGTTACAAGCTTCAACAGCTCAGATGGGAGAGACTTATCTTCACCTGATATAGCTTTATGGGAGAGTTGCAAAGAGAGAGATGTCATTGAAAAAGCTCCTATTAAATCTCAACTAGAGTTAGTTAAAAGGCATGTTGGAGACTCTGAAGTGGAAGGAGGTTCTTTGGTCTGAGGAGATGAAAACTGAGCTTCATGAGACTAACACAGACAAACACAGCATCCCTACTGTGAAGCACGGCAGTGGCAGCATCATGATGCTTCATAGCAGCACGACTTGTAAGGGTAGAGGGTAAAATGAATGCAGTGAAGTATAGGCGATATCCTACAGGACAGCTTGATGCAGTCGACAAGAGAACCGTGACTCAGGAGAAGATTTGTTTTCTAGCAAGACAATGAAGCTCCACAGAAACGGTTCAAGGACAACAAGGTGAAGGTTCTGGAGTGGCCGAGTCAGAGCACAGAACTTTGAAATTTGAAATTTGAAAAGGGCTGCTCCATCATGAACCTCATGCAACCTGATAGAACTTCAGCAATTGTGCAAAGAAAAGTAGTGAAAAATTTGTCCATAGGTGCCACTCTGATTGAGACACACAGGCTCGATGTGTGTTTGTGGTAAAGTACATCTACTAAATACTTCTCCAATAACGTATTTAACATCTTTAGTTAACTGACATTCCTTTACATAGAAATCTGCCTTTAGTTTGACATGAAAGATGTTTTTTTTTTGTAAATTCTTGTCAAAAAAGCCAAACTATAGTGACCACGATTCAGTCTTGAAAAGCAATAAAAGTGGGAAACTTCCAGGAGGTTGAATACTATTTATAGGCACTTTCTGATTTTTAAAATATTCAAACCCTAACAGTGCGCTCCCTCTCCGTTGTCGTGGTCGATTCTGAGGCATGCTTTGGATCAATTTCCAACTGTAGCTTCTTCTCAGTTTCTTGATTGACTGCAGGACATTAGCATCCAGAGTTTACTGATTAGAATGAGTGCAGTGGAGCTGGTGAGGTGTTCTTCTCATCACATGCTGCTCTTCTTTCTTTCTCCAAAGTGTGATTGGCCACAATCACCAAAGGTATGTTTGGAGAAATAAAAATGGTTTCAAGACTTATCTGGTAAATCCTGATTGATGTGCGAGGTGACATGACTTTCTTTCCAAATGATCTCTGCACAGTTCAAAGCCCCCGAGGTGACAGACAGAAAGTCTCAATTGGAAGAAAAAGCTTCTAACTTTGTCAGAATAAGTTTTGTTCAGGGTGAACTTCATCACTCTTACCGAGACACTGAGAAAGTAGGTTTTCACAGCCTTTTGCATTTTTCAGAATTCTTTGCAGGCTGTGATTATTTCACATTTCCATCAAAGGTTGTCCAAAGTTTCTTCTTTTAGATGAGCTGATTTTAGCCAAAACGACGCCACAACAACTTACAGTGACGGTCAAACTTGCTTGATCTAACGCTGAAGTGACCTTAAAGTCAAACATACAGACCTGTTTCATCAGTAATGTAGCTGTAAGCAGAACGCAATAAGTTTTTCATATACTGGTTGTCTTGAGCTTAAAATATGTGTTTAGCTTGAAGTAGGGTTGAATGGTTTGAAAATAGTCATTAATAATCTAAGTGTACATGTTTTATAGGGTTAAAGGTGTCTCAGTGTGGTTCTTTTTAAATTATGTTGTCGCAAATTTCAATACAGTGTTTATTTCCATTCAATATGACCTCAGATGTATTCATATCCTCCCATTAAAGAAGGAAAAAAACAGCTTCAGTCACTGAAATAAGTTGAAATTGACAAAAGTAGCAATAAATAAGAATTTTATGAACATCATGACGTTGCTTTTGAATTGTGGTTCAACAGAAATATTTTTAAAAAACAAGAAAACAAGCTTGATGGGACCTGTAAACTAACATTTAGTTGAACAACCCTTTGAGCCAATCACTGCATCAGGTATTCTCTGTAACTCTCAGTCAGACTTGTGCACCTGTTGACAGGTGTTCTGACCCACTGCTCATCAGCAAAGAGCTCTCATTTGTCCTGGGACTTTTTTTTCTTTTTTTTTTTTTAATTATTCTTTTCAACCACAATTCAAAAGTAATGTCTTATTTCACTAAATTATAATTTAGCACATTTTTATTTATTATTACTTTTTTTAGTTTCTAGTTATTTGAGTGTGAATTTTTCCTTTTCTCTAATGGAAGGGTGTGAATACATTGGAGATCTCCTAACAGCCTTACATGAACCCTCATTTGAAATCTCAATTTAACAATTTTTTGCACTTTAAAGGAGGTATAGATTATATATTTCTGCACACGGTTCCCTGTAACTTCCGCCCGACAAAAACAGACGAAACTGCTGACTTTTTAAATTGCCCCTCTGCTTCTCCTCTTATTCCCTCGTGTCATTTGTTTGAACTGATTTTATAACCTTTAATATGCACTAAATCATTTTGCACGGTGCTTCCCTCTTGCTCTTTCTCTTTATTTCTGTCCACATCACCCACTCTCGTAATTATAGGCGGTATTAAGGATATATATATACCCTCTTCTCTCACCTTACATAGCTGAGCTGGCGAAACGCTGCCCGTTGCTGCGCATCCCGTCCAAGCAGAACATAAATTTTCACCTCCTAAAAGCCAAAATAGTATCAGTTTGAAACATTCTTGGAGACTCCTGTCAGGAGCCGCTATGCAGAGAGTGTTTTATAGGTTTGAAGGCTGGAAACGATTCTCCACGGGGCCGCATTCGCTGATGACACAACGCTCTGTCTCTCTCAGTGGACGCAGGCATGGCCACGGAGGACTCCTTCGACGAGAGAGGCTGCCATTGCGACGTTACAGTGGAGGACCTGTCAGCTGCCCTCAAAGCTGTCATCAGAGCTGTCAGGTGAGCTGCTGCTGTCCAGAGCATCTCTACATCACCAAAGTCTCTGAAACCTTTGAGGACCAATAACTCACAAGTGAAGAATTAAGCATATTTTTTCAATATCAAGTGAGAAAATGAGGAAAGTTTTACTGTTTTTGTCACAGATGGGGGTCAAATATGCAGTTTTTTTCTTCCACAACACAGCTTCAACCCAACAGCTAGTATGTTATCATCTTCAGTTAAGTTAGGACCAGTCGTCTGCCAACACCAGCCCGGTGGAGCAGCTCTCGTCTTCATTTGTTTTCAAATTTTCAGGAAAAATGAGCTTGACAAGAATAATAATTATTACATCTTACATCCTCGTGTCTTTGTGGTTTACATGAAGCTGCTGCTGGGGGTTGGTCAGCTTTGATATATTTGCATTGTAAAAAAATAAATCAACAAAAATCTGTAAATTTATGGAATTTTTCCTTTTTTGTTTCCTTTTTTTTTTTTTTTTTTAAATACACAGACATATCAGTAAAACTACAAAAATATTCCCTAAATGGACGTGTCAGATGTAAAATATCAGTAATTTCCCAGACTGGGATTAATAAAGTATTTTTCTATTTTATTCTATTCTATATCACTAAAAACCTTTAGATTTGAATAACTATAAGATTTCTACTTTCTTACATAGTATTTTAATTTTAAATTTTTTTTTAAAGAAGAGGCAAATTTATTGTCATTTCACAAACATGTTGTTTTAATTTTTTAATTAATTATTTTTTTATTTTTAATTCAAGTTCAATACTGTAATGAAATTAAATAAATAACAATAATTCCATAGTTTTATGCACATAAACGTTCTTCATTGGACAATAACAAGATTTTTTTAAATACGATCTTGTGTAAAAATTAAGGCAGCAAAATGTTTTTTAAAAAGGAGAATTACTGTAATTTTATATAATGTCTATTTTCTATTATTTTCCATTATTTTCCATCTTTTTTTCTCTGTCTTTTTTTGGTTTTGTTTTGTTTTTCAACAAAGACAGAACAGATAGAACAGAAGGAAACAGGCACAAAACAGACATTTCTTATCCAGGAGCCGTGACTTCATGAAATCCACCATAAGCCTCATTTATAAAACCACTAATGGTCATTTGAACACTTTGCTTTAAGCAGATTCAGGGCAGAGGCAGGTCATTCAGATTTATTGTGCAGCCATTTGAATTTAGTTTGTATTCTTTTCTAATTCTCAGCATGAAGGCAAACAAGCTATTTAAAAGCTTTAGATATTTAAATTAAAACACTTTTTCCTCTTTGGTGAGCGACGGAAACCCCGCTGCAAAGTGAGAGGGTTTATTGAAATCAAAGAGGAGATTCAGGTTGATCTCTGAGTGCCGGTTTTATCTGTTTCTACATATTTGAGGCTTAGTGGAACAGATAAAATGCATCTTATCGATCACATAATCATCTCCTCTCTCAGGGCTTATCTTCTCACCGTCGTTCATTGATTTTGAAACCTCAGTGACAGCTCACTGGAGTCAAGAGTTGTCGATCAGCGATGCGCCTGAACCGCCTCCTTTATTTTTATTTTATCTCTTTTTTTGTCGATCGTATAATCTTTTCCGCGTTGTAGTCTTTTGAAGTCGGGTCAGGTTCCCTGCATCTCACTTCAGAGGCTGTTTATGATGTGTGTCTCTGTTTGTATTGATTGGGACGGTCCAGTGTGCTGGCCTTGAATGATTAAATGTGTGAAAGTAGCAGCACCTAATAGAGGAAGGCACACACAAGTAGCACGTTACCACAAATCAGATGTAGAAAATGATGATTGGTGCAGCCGCAGGAGAGCGAACTGAATCCATAACACAACCCAAAAAGACAACAAACCCCCTGCATGGATTCACTCCCCTATACGTGCAACACTAGATGAGAACAACATACATTCATTCATGAGAGGTCCACATGATGCTGGGATCCCTCAGGTGGTGCTTTTTCAAACCCGTTCCCTGTTTTTCTTCCCTTTTCCGCAACATCTTTCTCTCTTTATCTATATGAGCCACTGCTGGGTTTGAAGGCTTTGCCTGGGGGGGAGTTTTCATGCAGTCCTGGACGGAGTGTTGTGTTTTGAATGCGTGTGGTGGTGGTGGTGGTGGAGGTGGTGGTGGTGGAGGTACAGACTCTGCTCTCCTGCACCGGCACCGGCACCCTGTGAGCAAGTGTTTATCCAACTGGCGCCGAATGATTCTCTCACTCCACCGCTTCTTCTCACCCTCGCCATATTTTTTTTTCATTGTGAAATTGTCTATTTTCAACCCTCAGAAAAGGAGGATTTTGCATAAGAAATTGAACATTGGTGGGAAAATTGACTCAGCTGCGAATCCAATCTTAGTTATACGTGACTTTAGCATTTCCTGGTTCAAATCCTAGCTGATCTGGATGTTTCCCTTCTTCTATTTCTCCACATTTTCCATCTTTCTTCACTGTTGCTGTCTCATAAAGGCAAAAACACCCAAAGAAAAGCTTTAAGTTTGACCATAAGGCACATTATCAGACCTGATTTCTGGGATTCTCCTCATCCCTGTTTATAAAATCAATATTTTATACCCAGTGAGGCTGCGTGAACAGTGCAGCGCCGTGTCTGTTCAATAATTAAAAGAAAATGAGTCATTCGTGTAAAAAAACCTGATTCCGCTCTCGTCTTTTTCCTCGCAAATGAAAGCTCTGAAATTTTAATCCGAGATGGGAGCCAAGTGCGAGATTTGCAGCGTTGCATCTTTTAATCATCCCCCAATTAATGCTGTTAGCGGTTAATGTTGTTGCTAATTGTGTTAAACGTTTCTCCCTCTATCAGTCACTCCGACTCGTTCTTTGCTTTTCTTCTAATTGATCCCACCGTGATTATGTGTGCTAAAGAGATTAAAATGTTAAAGCGTGATAACAGTCTCTGCCCATATGGCCCACAAAAGTCTATAAATGAGCTGCACGATTGCACACTTGTCACTACTTTCTTAATGTACTTAATTATCTTTAGTAATGTCGTGCACTGGAGCTAACTCTTGGGGTGTTTCAGTTGAGCTGTGTTCTTATCAATCTCTGATTTAAACTTTCTTTCTCAGCACAGTTCAGTTACAAGGTTCAGTCAGGATTTGTTATTTTAATAAAGAGCGGTTAGGTAACAATTTCAAGTGGAATATTTTCAGACTGAGCTTTTTTTTCAAGTCGTGTTCCCATCTCAATGATTGATTAGTACCAGTATCCAGTCAGCCATTGCTTCAGTTTTTCTGGACTTATATCAGATTTGCAGTTCCTCAGATAAAGTTCCTCCTCCGTCCCGCTCCCACCCACCCTCCGGCCGGCCCGCCCGCCCAGCAGGCCGCCTCCATGGGCAGCCGGAGCCCAGGGCTTTCCCAGGGTGTCAGGTTGAGGGCTGGACGCCCCCCTCCCCTGTCAGGACTGTTATTACAGAGGGTCATCTGTCACCGTTGTTTCCATTCGGACGGCGAGAAAAACAGGCAACTGGAAGGGAGCAGGAGGCGCCGGGGAGTCCGAATGAGACGAGAACACGGATCTCCTTACCTGCATCAATATTATTCACCCAGCAGTGGCTCCGTTCGCCAAACAGAGGACAGATAGAAGGCTGCACTCGGGTTTCAGAGGCGTTTTTGGGCTGTTGTGGATTTGACAAGAGGAGCAGGAAACATTGGCTTCCCATTAGATACTCCTGAGAGTTCATGTTATCTTTATTACACTCAAAAAAAAAAGAAGAAAAAAGATCAACAAGTGAGATGAAGTGAGGAGCCTCGTGTGGGTTTTCTCAAAGCTGCTGCTTCCATCTAATGGTTAGTTGGAGTCATTACACCTTCAGCATCTCTGCTCTGTCTCACTTTGCAGGATCATGAAGTTCCACGTAGCGAAGAAGAAGTTTAAGGAGACGCTGCGTCCGTACGACGTGAAGGACGTCATCGAGCAGTACTCTGCAGGACATCTGGACATGCTGTGTCGCATCAAGAGCCTTCAGACCAGGTGAGGGAACAAACTCACCTCAGAATCACTGTTTTCTCCATATTGAAGCGTATTGACCTCTCTGATCTTCATGATGACTAATTTTACTGAAACGTGTGCAGGTGGGTGTCATCGCTAAGCTGCAGCACAAATAAATATAACAGACATGAGGGTGGTTCAAAAAGTTCTCAGCCTCGATACAAGAGGCGTAATTTCTGTTTTGGGGGGTTTGCAATAGAGCCTCATGTCTCTATCCATAAAAACTCAAATGTTTCTCATCGTTTATTGATCCGAATTTGAAGAATATGGAAGTTTTGCAGACACTTTTTGCTCAACCTAATCTGGGTAACTTCCTCAGCAGAGTTGTGACTCGGGATGAGACGTGTTGGAATCAATGGAAGTAGTTCAAGCAGGTTTTCTGCAAGGAGATGACGTCTGTGTTTTCAGACAGTAATGATGAAGTCAGAGGAGAATCTGGAGGCTGAAGATGTGACCTAGAGATAGTGAAGCATGAACAACAGTAGACCGAGTGCGTTAAAGGTGAAGATAAGATAAGATAAAACTTAATTAATCCTGAAGGAAAATGAAATGCAGCGTCTAAAAGTAGAACGCAATAAGACATGGGTGCAATATATGACTGAAATAAAAATAACTGAGCCGAATGAAGGCTGGACTAGAACAGTAAAAAGTAATCCTGGCAGTTTTACTGAAGCACAAACAGTCCTGTGATGTTTCCCGGTGAGGCCGAGGCAGATGTATGCACACCCACGTAGCTTATAAACAGAACACACACACACAGCTGTATGTTTGCTCAACGTAAACCGTGCTTCTCATTATTTATGACTTTTTCTATTTTTAAAGGGTTTTTTTTAAATCATTTCTTTACATTTCACTGTGCCGACTGTATAAACATGTGACAGCTCTTGTTGCTGCAGATGTCGCTGCTCTTCCTGCTCGCTCCAGCGGTTATAAATCACTCCACAGAAAACCCTTTAGAATAAAAACTGTCACCGACTTCCACCTTTCTCATGCGGAGTGTGTGTCTGTACATGTGGTGTGTGTGTGTGTCCCCTCTCTCTCCCAGACTAGACACTGTAGTGGGTCCCCCTCCGAGGCCTTTGAGCAGCCGGGCCAAGACCTTTTCCTCTCCCTCCCTGCATTTATATTACAGCCAGGCCCGGAAGAAGCAGTCTGCATTGGGGTTAGAGCTGCCCCGTCCTCCCGCCGACCGCTCCCCACTAACCTGCGTCCAACAGCATGCATTTACAGATTTTTTTTATTTTTGCCAAATCTAAAAATGAATTTCCTTCCAAATCTGAGGTACTAGTGGTTGGCCCAGGTGTGGCTGTAGCTTCAGCTTTGATGAATCATTTATTAATCAAAACAGGCTTCAACAGAGGTCATTCAGGAGCTCAAACATCGGGTTTGAATTTGGATTTACTTCGTGATGCATCTTCGAAATCTCTTTTTGAGGTTTTTACCTGGTTCATCTTGACATTTACTGCATGTACAGTAATACAATAAAAGGCTTTTAAATGCACAAATTAGACTTTCCTTCATGTCACACTAGAAAATGTGTGATAATCCTGATTTGAGCGACTTAAAGACCTCGACTAGTTGTAGGTGTCTGCAGACGTAACAAGAGCGAATCAAAACTCTGGAATCTATTTACACCAAACAAGTGCTTTTTTCAAGCTCTTGCCAACTTTTACAATGCAATATGATTTTTATTTTATATTTTTTTGTTTAACTTACTCTTACTTTCATGCCTGAATCACATGTAGCGTTAGGCTCTTTATCAAAATCGTCTTTTTCACCTAAATTACAAGCAAATCTGCATTTATTATATCACCAGGGGGCACTAAAATGCACTTAGTGATTGGGGATTTTTTTATGTAAAGTTGCTTCCAGCTCTTGGTATTGGCTGTCATCTTTAATGCTGAATGATAAGCAGTAAGAATAACATAGTGTTTGTTGTCTGAGTGTTGGTATGAAGCAAAAGCTGTAGATCCACACAGAGCGCATGAATCCGGCTCGTCTACTGTGTCTCATTAGGAGTCCGACTAGATTTCTGTTACATCAGTCGTCTTCACAGGGGGACGTTTTCACAGCTTTAGTCTCTGTTGGTGACAGAAACGGCAGAAAAGTCCAAAACTGATTCTTCAATTTTGTGTGATTTAACTAAATAACTCAATTTGCAAATCACTGGCAGTCACTAACAGATTACCGTCAATATCGACCTTCAGAAATCCATTTTATCCTTCCTCTCTGTGCATCTATACGCTTTTGTTATTTGCTGTCGGTGAGTGATGTGTTCATTTGTGCAAACTTCAGAGTGTGTGAGTGAGACAGAGAGAGAGAGTTGTATCTGACCGGGTCTTTCTCCTTCCTCCAGACCGACCAGTGCGGCGGGCTCTGGTCCCAGCCTAAGTAGCCGATCCAGGAACATGTCCTCTCCTGCCCTGCACTATTATTACAGCAACAGCAAGAAGAAGCCCTCTGACTCAGGGTTGCTTTTATTTCACTTGATTTAGAGTAGAATATAATCCCATTAGTTACTGCTTTGGTGAACGTTAGTTTCCCCCCCTGCAGTCCCCCGGAAGTGTCTGACTGCAAACAGATGCAAATTATCTGCATTTTAATTAACTTTCTTGGCAGAACCAGATGGTTGGAGTTTACGCTAGAACATGCAGTGACTACTGGAGGGTTTGCACAACCACAGAAAATTGATTTTGCATAATAAATTCCTTATTTGTATCCCAAAAATGTGATTATTCTAAAGCGATAAACTCCACCCACATGGTAAGGTTTTAATTAACCCCGTCACACAGTCGTGTTGATTCACGTGAGTAGAGAACGCACAGAAACCCGAATGCATCTGCTCGACGCCACATTAGGTCTCATCCATAGTTCCATGCTTCATCCTTCCTTTCATCCAAGGGAGGACACGTTATTGTGTGTGAATGTCGCTAACCTGTGTGAGGTGTTTTTCTGATTTATTTACGTAGTGTTGCGCCAGATTATGTGCAGGATGTGCAATTAAACGCAGCTAATGCGACATTATTTTTGTGTCAAAGAGCAAAGAGCCTCATTTGACTGGTTAGTTAATCTGGTAATTTGAACGCAGCAGAGCATGCAGCACGTCTTTAGGCGTCACTGCAATTTTTTTAAATCTCCTTTTTGGTTTGTTGAAGTGGAAAATGAAGTTTGTGAAATGAATAAGCGATGACGCACATTCTTAATAGCCTCAGTGTTGGTGTTTTTAAAGCATAAGGATGTTTGTGTATGTTGTATTTGTGAGCTTAATTCTGACATGTAGTGCTCATAAGTGGCTTTTCCTGCCCTTAATTTTGACTTGCAGACAATGTGGTTTCTCCTGGTGCATGTTGGTTTTCATGTGTGAAATGTTTAGAAAGGTTATATTGAACTGTAAGAAAAACCCATGCACTCTATAAACTGTAAATGTAATCATCCATCACTACCGAAAAACTTTTTGGAGATTCTGTGTTTTTGATGCACTCGAGCCGTGTGTGTGTTGTACTAACTCGAATCTTAACACCCCGCTGTTGCTTTAGGTTTTGTTTTCTGACATGGGATAACCTGACATGACGCTCGGACGCCGACTTATATTACAACGTCATTATTTTTCCAATGTAATAACATCGGTATGTGTGTGTGTATATCAGGGTGGATCAGATTCTGGGAAAAGGCCAGATTCCTGTGGACAAGAAAATGAGGGACAAGCTGCACCCAGATGGAGACTCTCTGGAGGGCATGAGCATGCTGGGACGTGTATGTAAAGTGGAGAGACAGGTGTGTTGGGGGGAAAATATCAGAGACGGGAAAGACTAAGTCAGCACAACTGTTTCGAAATGCGATTACAAAATTTTATTACCTAATAATGTTGATGATATATCTGGAAGGGGTTGATTTGGGCTGTTAACCAAAACCAGTGACTCAGGATTTACTTTGCCAAGTACTGAGACAGCTCCGCATTAAGAAAACTCTCACTATTGCAGGAAGCGTTTCCTCTTTCCGTGTTCTCACTCTTTTCTCTTGCATCCAGGTAACGTCCATCGAGTCGAAGTTGGACTCCTTGCTGGACGTTTACCGCCAAGTCCTGCAGAAAGGCTCTTCTGCGCTCACCCTCTCCTCCCTGCCCCTGTTTGAGCTGGACAACCATCAGCACCACAACTCCAGCTACCCCACCTCCATCATCGGCAGGGACCTCCCCTCCCCGCAGGGTGGCAATTCGGTCGGAGGCGGAGGAGACAACAATACCGGCATGCACCGCTCCCTCAGTGCCAACCCGAGAGGCTTGCGGCTCATCCTGGCGCCCGCTGACGACGACGGTCCTCCGGACTCGGCGCCTCCATCCTACCCGCCATCCACAGCCTCGCTCTCCCCGTCGCCCCTGCTGCCCCCCGACAGCCCCTACCCAACCCTGGTCACCCCGAACTCCAAAAAAGCACACTTCCCTGACCTGCCGCCTCCGCCTCCCTCAGCGGGGAGTTTCACCCTCCAGCTGCCCCCCATGGTGCACCCGTCTCACCTCCGATGCCCTCCTGAACCTGTCCCGGATGATGATCTGACAGGTGAGGTGGTGGCAGGTGAGGGCAGCCTGGGCCCCGCTGTTGTTGTGGGATGCAGCGTGGACCAAAAGGAGGACAGTGAGGCGGGCTCTGTCCAGGGAAGGGTGCAGCTGCGGGAGAAGCCTGGCTTGAAACCCGAGGGGGTCTGGAGGAGGCACATGAGCCTGGAGGTGAACCCCCTGCTGCTTCTCTCATCCAGCCCAGAAGGGAGGCCCTCAGACTGGGAAGGCAGTCTGGGGAAATCCCTCTCTGCGCATAATCTCAGCCAGCCTTTGACCAACCGTGCCCCCGGTCTGTCCTCTGCACTCAACAACAGCAGCAGCAGCAACAGTAGCGAGCGTGGCAACGCCCACAGTCACCTCAGCAACTGGGATGGAACAGAACTCTTCATTCGTGAGCCGACAGCAGAACATTTCAATTTTCTGTCCCAGGGACCCAGCAGCAGCCCCTCGGACCTTTTACAGACTGTGGAGGAGGCTGTGCTTCACCCGAAGGGAAACTCAGAGTTCCTCAGTCAGTCCTCACACATACAGCTGGCATAACCACACACACACACACACACACACACACACACACACACATACTGTACGTACACACCATTGTGGGTGAAGCCACTTTTTAAAGTATTTTTTACACGACACCACACAGATTATGTTGCAGATTTTACAATTAGATATTTGTATATGGACGAACAATGTTTTGATATTTCGTCTGACATGATTACGTCCAGTTTATTATCCTGAACACTTTCTATAGGCTACAAACATGACTACAGCCTGTAGAACAGAAGAATGTATTCGTGCAAGTGGCCATAATCATGTCAGACAAAATATCCAAACAATACACAGATAAGAAAAACAGCTTTGTAGGCGAAAAGGTAATTTTATTGACTTTATACAGAAAGGGTCACACTTTTCATATTCAACAGTATAAAGTGCAAAAAAAAAAAGAGAGCTTTATTTGAAATGCAGAAGAAAGAATGAATCCGTTTCTGAGCCTGCAGTCTGACTCCTGCCAGTGCAAATTAAATAATATTGATTCATCACAAAAACGACTGTGTAAAGTTAGCTTTCTGGGCTCAAACCAAAGAACCGAATTTGGGCTCATTGGCCACAAAAAGTCTAACTTTTCATAGCAGAAATTAAAGGAAGCAGAAGAAAACTGAGTGTAATTCTCTCTCAGCTGAAACTAGTTGCAACTCCCCAAGTTTAAAGTGTTGATTAACCTCATCAGATCTTTCCCAACATGAGGTGAAGCCAGTGAGCGCAGCTACATGCACAACACTTCCATACACACACACACACAGACACGCAGAAACACACAACCATCGACCGCAACCACCACCAAGAAACGCCAACCTGACGAAGAGCTGAGACTGACTAAAGACTTATTTTTCATACAAGTGCTTGTATTCAGAGACTTTCTTGGAAGAGGAGGAGAGTCACTCACTCCGCTTACTCAGTGTCTTTCTTTGGCAACGTAAAATGTCATCTTTTTACTTACGCTTTCATACATATCACTGCATGGACGGTTCCCAAAAAACACACACGAATGGTAGGATAATAACGGGGCGAGGCCTGGCGCGAGTTAAAGGCCGAACCCTCGGCATGTATTCAGACCACAGACGTGTCATTCTGTTCATTCCACACAACTGCAAGAGATCTTAGTTTATGCTGATATGGTTGCTTAGTTTCATCTGTCAGCAAAATGTCGGTAAATTTGGATGCAGCACATCTAATGGAAAAAATGGCCCATCAGCAGTCCCTTAAGACAAGCGCTGGACCACCTCCTGCTCGGTTCTGGACGGTAGCCTGGCCAGTTAGTTGTCCGAATGCTGAATTGCAGCAGACGTATAAAGTGGGCTTCCTCTGCCAAGCATGAGAAGCTGCATGTCGAAGCAGCCGAGAGCAGTCGCACATCTGCCGGATGTCCTTCTGCATGTTGGAATCATCCAAACCTTTAATGAAGAGGTACGAACAAAATCTGCCTATACGAAAAACACTATATTCTAATTTGAACTAATTTGATAGTAGTTACATGGATAATCCACTTAATGTAAAATTTTCTAACAATCATACATTTAAAGGCCATTTAATGTTTTTCTTTTTCCTTTTTTTTTTTGTTTGACAAACCCTTACTTTTTACTGGGTGCTGGTTGCACCGCGTGCATCAACAATTATTATAGGCTGCTGCACTGACATTATTCCCTCTTCTGGGTCAAAAGTTAAATACGCTGTGCACACGTTCACCCGAGGAGCCCGTGACAATTATGTACTGTAGTATGCACACACTGTCGTTGATCCGGTATGCATGTCGTTGCTTTATCCACATGTGCTGAAAAGGTCAGCATTTTATATACTCACTTATTAAAATAGAAGAGAATAATATCAACACAAAGGGAATTTTGAAAGGAGAATCTCGAGTGATGTTGAGAATAAATGTGGCCCCTTTTTAGCTTTGCTGCCGCCCTCCGAAAGATCACTTATAATTTAGCAGGATTTTGAATGTGCATGCACTTCCTTTTCATTCATCTCAATCCTAATCAAATATAGTTTTGTCCATTTCCAGAACAGGGCTGAATGTTTTTTTTTTTCCTGACAGATATTGCAATTTGATTTACAGTAGATATATATCTTTAAAGTGAACCTTCTGTGTGGTTTTCACTGTGTGACAGATTGAAAAGAGCATCAGAGCATGAGATACCATCAACAGCGTGACTCTCACACATGGACGACGGCTTGAATTTGTGAAACCACTGACAGTTTAAACCAGACTCCCTGTGTGATCCCAAACTGCAGTCTTTCCAATCTGCTAAATGCATTTTTGCAATTTTGATGAATTGTTCAGCCCTAATTCAGATGTTTTCACTGGCAGGCTTTTGGGGGGGAAAAAAAGTGCTGCAAGTGTCTTAATTGTTTTCTCCTGCTTGTAGATGGTGACTGCTCTTAAAGGAGAATTATGCACAAAACCACGTCAGCCATCTTTGTTTTTGTCAGCCGTCTGTTTTGTACGCAGTCGCAGCAGTCTTAACAAAAATGTATTTTAACGTGCTAATGACGTCCCTTATTCATCATTATTGTTTTCGGTTATACTCCCCGGTGAATAAGTGCTTAGCAAATTAACATTCTGTAGTTGATTATAACAAATATTATCTTCTAACAAATGACAGCTGTTAACACTTGTAGATTGATTTTATTTTTGAGATATTCTATAGCCCACGCAGGACTCGTTCTGCTATGATGAAGTATATTATCGTCATGAAAGCACAGTGGTTTCTGGTGAGATTTGAGGAGCCTGAAAATGTGACATGGTAGTTTGATGCTTAATATTGGAATAGATTTGTTGTAGTTCTTGAGTTTTGCTACATATGAAAAGAAGCCAACCAAAACCTATCCGTTACTTTGGAGCCAGACATCGAACACATACTGAATATACTTAAAAGCCCACAAACTCCCAGCCAGTTGGGGAATGGGATGGATTATTCCCCTCCATAGAACATGCTCATTTTTGCAATCTGTAAATTGCTTAAGGGTGCCTTTCTTACATATGAAAAGCCTTTTATTTTTGTTCCTTCACAGAGCTATAAAGGCCTCATCTGCCTCCAGCTTATAGCATACTGTATAGCTGAAGTAAAACTGCTCATTTTGGGTTAGGCATCCGGTTCATTTAGGTCATGTAGCTTTAGCCACAGACTTTATAATGGCTTTGATGGCTAATAATACCATTTCTCTACTGCTTGAACAGTAATTTATTACACAACTGGCCTTAAAGCTTGATAATGTTAACATTATTATTACTTTGAAATTAATTTATTAAAGTGCACATTATGTTCTCTGGATGAGAAATGTAAAAATAATTTTATTATTCATTAATAAAGTACGGATTAACTAAAAACGATTCGTTTCTTTTGTCTTTTTTTGTCAAGCTGATCAGTTTACTTTCAGTAACTATGACTTTTCTGGTGAAATGTTTTTCTGAACCACATGAAACCAGGTACTTCTGACAGAAAATGTTTACACTGATTTTGTTGCTATTTAAAGATTTCACATTATTAAGAAGTGTATGGACAGTATAAAAATGCATCTGTTTATATTTTTAAGTAAAGAATCTGTGCATGTTTTTATTAAAGTGTACATGATTTAGGTTTAGCTGAAGCTTGTGTACAGACTCCTAAACACTGTATGGAGGAAAACTGCTTTGAATGGTTTTGGAGACAAGTGCACATTGCTTAAAACATAAAATAAAATGCAATAATGACCCAGAACCGGCAGCAAAAGAAAGAAAATGCAAAACAAATGATGGGATGTTTATGTAGATTGTAGTGTCAGCAGACAGCTGGACTTCTCTGAATTTCTTGAAGACTTCGCCTCTCCTTCTTTTTAGTTTTTGGTCACCACAAGTCCATGCAACAACCCAAAAGCTTCAGAACCTTCTTGCCAGGACAAAACTCAGCCAGTAAACCTGCATCTAAAAGCCAAGTGAGACTCCTTTGAGGACAGAAATGTTCACATTTAGCACAGAGAAGACAAGCTAGTATAAGAGAGAAGTTAAGGAATCTCCAAACAGCAGGGTTTCTGTTACACCACTTATCAGGTACCTATAATGTAGTGTTGAGCTCCCTGTTTTGCCTCAAGAGTCTTCACTGTACTTATGTAATTTACACTGTAAGCATCACATGAGCTTTATTTCCAAATACATAAATACTATTTTAGCAACTGTTCCAGGTTTTTAATCAACTGAAGGCTACATAAAACACAAATTATTCTGCATATGAGCTCTCATGTGCTTCTACGTTACATATGATAATCAAATGAGAACAGTGAGACGAGAGTTTTAAAAAAATAAAAATAAAATTTGAGTATTTTTCGCTTAGTAAGGTGTCTAATTTTTTTGTGTGTGTGTCAGATTCTGCCACATTTTATGCTAAGCTTAGAATTTCAGGGTTTAATCGTTATCAATCCACATTCAGCGTACCATATTAACGACAATTTGGTCCAAATCTAACTGGAAGCTGTAGTTTCCAGAGGGGACCTGAAGGCATCGTAGGCTTGATTGACGGTTGGCGGTCGTCAGTGAAGGAGCCAACTGCCAAATTAAAAATGTCCGACTGGGAAGATGAGTACGACCAGGACGGCGTTGCGATCCAGAAGCCCGCTGCCAAATCAGCCCCGACAGAGAGGGAAGCGCCGTGCGATGACCGTCAAAGACAAAATGTGTTTTTCGGTGTGAGAAATTGCAGCCGGTTCGGAGCCTATAATGACAGGAGAGCTAATGATAGCGGCAAAGGATCCGAGTACGAACGTCGGATAGACGGAGGCGACCGTGGAGGTTCAGGACGAAGACGGACTTTCGACAATGAAAAGTCGGACTCTTCTCGGCCTGTGACTTTCACCGTGGAAAATGCTTTAGTTGGGAGGATAATTGGTATGTCTGTAACGTTAAAATATGACTTTCATTAAGGCTAGCTTTACCAAACACGTCGCAAACCTAGCTAAATCGCATTAGCCGTTTTGCTAATAGCGTTAGCTAGTTATGCTAAATCAGCGGACATTAGCTTAGCATGGTGGAGTGACGGCTACCAATGTCTATAAACTGTGCCACTGTATGACTATGTCCAGTGTGGTATGACCTCTGCACTTGTGTTTCCACATTGGAAATAGCGATGTGAGTATTTTTTTTGGTTAAACTCAAATGTATTTAATCCTGTGTAAAGGTCGTGGAGGAGCCAAAATCCGTGAACTTGAAGAGAGCACCGGTGCAAGAATCAAGGCAAGTTGGCTGAACTAAAGCAGCAACTCCTCGAAAAAGTTGCTGGTGCTGGAAAATGCTGAATTTGTAATCGAAATCCTTTGTTTCTAGTCCCCAGTTTTATTTATATGGCTGATAATGTTAAGACAGCTATGTTTGTCCAAGGCTCTGAGGAAGAAACAAGTAAGCATTACTCTTGGTCCAAATTGACTAATGTAGAAAAAAACCAAATCAGAGTACTAGCTGTTGTCAGTGTTTAATTGTGAGCAAGATAAGTCACCATTTTGTTATTATTGGCACTAGATTTTACAGCTTTAATACAGCGCTGTGGATACTTTGCATATTTCTTCCTTTATTTAGGTTTTCCCTAGCCTCAAAATGATAAAAACTGACGTAGATAACGCGACTATTTTTATAATCAGTTATATTACTTTGGGCTTCATTCAATATGTTATCAGAATGGGTGGTTGCCATGGTGATGGCGGTGTGCATAGACACAGCGGCCCCTCAGAAGACAACGAAAGTGAATGTTTTGAGTGTCTTGTCTATCCCAGAGGTTCATTCTGTACAACTTGCGGCCAGGAGACTTTGCTGGGCGTCAGGACAGTGAACGGCGCTGGAATTGCGGCGATCGTTTGTGATGTGAACATACTACACCAACATGGAGACTATGCCGGTACGAACGTAAACAAAAGAGGAAGAGAGCCGGGATCCATGCTAGGCTACAGGCTAACCCCGTCCAGACCAGCAGGACCGTCCTCCTACTCTCCAATGTCCGCCCCCTTGACAACAAGCTGGACGAGCTACATTTGCTGAGAGAAACCTGCAGAGAGTGGAGGGACTGCTGTGTGTTTGCTTTAACAGAAACATGGCTCCATGACAGCATCCCAGACGGACATACAGCTGGAGGAGACAACATTATTCCAGGCGGACAGATTCAGATTTCTTTTATTGTCATTGTAACCAGTACAACGAAACATAACGAAACGACAGACAGACAGCTAGCTAGCTCTGGGCAGCATCTGAAGCTTCACCATCGTGACACCATTGTGTGTGTCTTTGTGTCCCTGAAGACCTACCAGGACCTGAGGAGGTTCGCCATTTTGTGGACACGTGGATGCAGCGCCCCCTTCAGCAGACAGCGAGCGTGAACGTTTAGTGTCTTCTCCCAGACGTTCATTCCGCAAACCTTACTAATTAAATGGTCCTGAAGAAACGCTCTCTCATCTGTCCTGTACTACTGTGTATGTACAGCAACATGACAATAAACTGGATTTGATTTGATTTGATGATGTTCAGAAACAACACAAAGTGCATCAGTTTCTGTCCAGTATGGTACAGACTCATTGCTTTTACTGCTAATAGTTGCTGTTGTGCATAGACACCTACCAAAGGCCCTTTCTGAGACAGCTAAAACCCCGCTTTACTTATATAGGATGTTCCTTTTATGCCCTCTGTGTAACTCTGTTGTTTTACGGATAGATAAATAAGGGGGATTATGAAGGTGAGGTGGTCATCTTTGGATCCTCTGATGCCCAGCAGAAGGCCAAGGAGATGATTGAAGAGCTAGTGGAAGATGGTGGCTCTCGTTTTTCTCATGGTATGAAATAAGTGTTTTGTATAAAATGTTAATCTTGAGCTTAATAATTGAGCTCCATGTCGTTGACTGTCTCGAGGCCAATGGCATGTTTCTGTGATCAGATGTATCTCATGACAGTGAACCTTTTGTATTCAACTAGAAACAACATTTACTGAACTGTTTTTTATGTTAAGGCATAATTTAGGCAACGTCAGTTGAAGTTGGGTGCTTATGGACTGTTAATTGGTATAATTAGCTTTTGTCCCACAAATATTAATGCAAAGTTCTTTTTCTGTTTACTGCTACTGGGCTACACTTATGCACTGCAGTTTGTAAATGACATAACATTTTCTGGAGCATACTAATCTGCTTCTCAGGCACTGGTAGAAGACCAGACTATGGCGGAGGAGGTGATGGACCAGTAAGAAATGGCTCTGTCTGGTCCTCTGCAGAATTACAGGCCGCAAGTGTCGTCTCAGCCCCACCATCCATAGACTGGAACACCATCCGGGAGAACAAGGACAAGTATGAAGAGCTCAAGTGGAAGGGTGAGGCCTCAGATGTTGTCACAAATGTGCATAAGCGGCACTTTACGAATGCTTTAACAATGATATGGATTTGACATTAAACAATGACGACAGGTCAGAGAGGTGATGAGTGGGAATCGGGACTCTTTTTTCTTATTTGGGGTGTTTATTGGATGTGCAGGTGAATAACTCTGTAATATTTGCAACTTCTCTCAGACGTCCCACCCATGAAGAAGAAGTTTTACATTGAGGCAGAGAGCGTGTCCATGCTTATAGCAGAGGAAGTCAGTGAATGGAGGTAAAGCTGAAATTGTTCCATATTTTCGTCACCCTGTGTGTGAGAAAAAAACAAAACAAAAAAACCCACGTTACTACCTAGTACATAACGTGTACTGCCGTAAATACCCACATCATATTATATGCTAGAGCTGCACTCCAGTGCCTCAAACTGGGATCGCTTCTGCAGGTGTTTTTTGCACATTTGAAAATGTTAACCTAACCTAAGCCCTCTAGAAACCTCAGGAGAATCCTGTTGTAGATGCTCAGCCTTAGTATGAAGTTGTTTTGGCAGGTCTTGTGCCGTCACAGTCACTTCAGAAAGTATTCAGACTTCTTAACTTTTTACACACTTGACTGAAACAGATTTACATTTAAATTGATAAAGTGGCATTTTCATCACATGAATCTACACTCAGTAACCCATAATGACAAACTGATAACCTGTTTAGGAAGACATTATTAAATAGTTTATAATCAAAAACTGAGATCTGTCATTGGCAGAAGTATTTAGATCCTTTCTGTAACACTCCCACGCTGTGGTCACATTCTTCCTGTTTTCTTTAATTGACATTGATGGACATTCCCTCGTGGCAAATTGAAAGGACTCAACAAAGTTTATACACACACCTGTGTATGTAAGGTCCCACAATTTCCTCTACATGCCAGAAAAACACTAAAACATGAAGGAATTGTCTACAAACTGTGGTGATAATATTATAAAACAGCTAAATCTGAGGCTGGACTGAACATCTGTGGAGAGACCAGCAGGGGGCAGTTTAGACACTTTCATTCAGCCTGGCAGAGCTGACCAGGATCTGTGACAAAGAAACTCTCCAAATCCGGGTGTGCAAAATCTGTAGAAACGTATCAAAGAAGATTTGAAATCTTTATTTTCTACCAAAGGAGCTTCTACAAAGTAATGCATTAAAAGTCTGAATACTTTTTGTAAATGAGATGTTCCAGTTTTTGATTTTTATTAAATTTCTGAAAGCATGTTTTCACTATTATGGATTATTGAGTGTAAAATGATGGCCAAAAATGCAGATTTTTTATCACTTTAACTTTAAATCTACAACATTCTGGAAATTGTTTAATTGATTTCTCTTGTTCAAGTTTGGGATTTCAAGCAAATTGTTATAAAAAGCTTCCTGAATTTGTTATGTGAGGTTTTATTTGAGAGGTATGAGTTTTGTTTCAGGTAATACATGACAGTAGAAGACTAATCATCACATTAAATGCTTCAAATGTCAGATTTAGTTAAGTTTATATGATTTGCATTAGTTTTTGGTATTGAAAACTGTTTTGGATTTGCGATAAATTTATAATATATTGCTTACTTCTAATGTGTATTTGTGGTGTTTTGGGAAATTATCTTACAAAAAGTGTTTTGTGTCATTTTCAACTTTCCAAATCTTAAATTCCTGCTCAGTATTTCTACAACAAACACTTTTCCCTCAGACAGATAGGTGGCGCCATTTATCCTCCTCTTTGGGAGTCATCTCAGTAAGTCTGTCTTTAACCCTTCAGATACAGACAAGCCTGCTTGATTTGGGATTTGTCAGCGGTTTTCAGTCATAAAGGTCTCAAAATGAACTGTCTCTGCTTCAATGTCAGGCTTACAAATTCCTTTTGCTTACATTTATTTTGCATTGAAAACGGTTCTGCATGCTGCCCAGTGAAAAATGAACTCCAGAAATGCAGCAAATAGAAAAATAAACAAGAGCTCTAGGATGCTAGGGAGAGAAATGGGCAGGAGTAGGATGACCAAGGACGTTACAGAGAGACAGACTTAACGTAGGTATACTCTTATTCATTGGACTGCTGTTGTTTTTATATTTTTATTCAAGGTTTGAAGGTAACATTTAGGTTTTGATATGTAGTGAGTTTATCCAAATAATGCTTATTTTGAAGTTGGCTGTCGGTCAGTGTTCCTTGTTGTCTTGCATTCAATCTGAAAGCCCTTAATTTAACAGCATCCGTTAGTCTTTCTCTCCTACATGTGTTCGTTATTTCTGGATTTTGAATGTGTTTTTGTGTTTTTTCCGTAACCACAAAAAATGGTCATGTTTAGAAGACTGCATAGTTTTGAGCTAGATGTGATCTCTGAAACATAAGCTATAGCCGATCTCATTGTGTGTTTATTTTTATCCAGCATGGTTTTGTGGTTTCTAATCAACCACTCTACATTTCAGGCAGTCCCATCATGTTCTTCTTTGTGTTACATTTTACCACAGGAAGGAGAACAACAATGTCTTTGTGGATGACCTGAAGGAGGAAGGGGAGAAGCGGACCGTTCCTAATCCCTGTCGTACCTTTTTGGAGGCCTTCGAGCTTTATCCAGAGATCATGGAGAATATTGACCGGGTTGGCTTTGCCAAACCAACCCCCATCCAGGTATGACCCTGACCCCGGCAAAGCTTTATGTTGCAGCTATTGTCTTACAGCCATTCTTTAATGTATTACTTCTACATGATTTAGAGTCTTATTCTCTACTACAGTGCGATGTTTATTAGGTCAACACTGATTTTAAAAACACGTTGCATGTGTCTAATAAGATACTTCTGGATTAGAACAATTCTGGCTGCTGTTTACTCCTCAGTGACAGTTTGTTTAATGTTTTTCTGAAACCATAAAAAGCAACTTTTTACCAGAATTGCAGTTCATTATGATGAACGATGCAGTACACATAAACTCTGGCGAAACTGTAGGAAAATAGCACAAAGTTCAGCTAATAAACTACACAAAGTATTGCTTTCAAAGAGACTCAGACATAATTGAGAAAAAGTTAATACTTGAAGTTAATCACTGTTATCAGTAATGAGTTGAGTTCTTTTCTGTGTAACAGTATTTTCTTGTAAACCAGTGAGTCACATTTCCTCTGTCTTGTGAATGTGTCCTGGATTGTTTTTAATTACCACTTTGAAAAGTTCTCATCTGACTTTGGAGCAAAACTTTCCATGTCTTTTATTGTATGTGGTTGGATGTTGCAAAGACAGATGCTTCTGTCGTGACAAGTCCTGTTCACCATACGTGTTGCCACGGGCAATTCCTGTGATTTGACTACGATCCATATTTAGAAATACCAACGTTAACATAAACCCTGATGGGAAATCGAGCCTTTTTTTTCATCTCTGGTTGCCTCCCCAAAATGCAGAAATGAAAGGAAAGGTGTTGTATCTTTAGGTACATGTATGAGACACCCAATGCTAGATGGCACAGTGTGTGTAGACATAAGTTACCAAAAAAATAAAAATCATTGATAAGTTTTGCACACGTAGTACCTCTTTAATTGAGAAGCTTCTGAACCTAATCTTTTTATGGACACACAGTTTTTTTTCTCCCTGATGTTTGGTTTCCACAAAGATTTTTTTTCTCTCCTGTAAATTGACATTAGAAAAAGGCACATTTTTATGTTGCCTTCTATTTATTTAGTCACTCAATAGTGACTGCAAGTTTGGCTTATTTTTGTAGATCACTACAACAAAAGATATCTAGAATGCAGACGGGCATGTTTCTGAGACAAAGAGTGAGCCAGTAAACGTGTCGGATAAGAAAAGCAGCAGCCAGCACATAGGTCGTTTTAGTGGCAGACTTTGGGTAGTTAATAGATTTATTTTTCATCTCACATGTACTGAACCTAAACTGCAGAAGTAAAAAACTTTAAAGCATTCAGATATTAATTTGTATAATATTAAAAGTACAGATTAGATCAATAAACATGCATCTGCAGTGATAAACTTTTGGGTATTTTTCCGTAGTTCATCACAGGTGAGACGTGTTTCCCAATAGACCAGCGTCAGTGCAAAATTCAGACTAATCTGCTGCAAAAGGAGAAACGAAACTCCATCGTCTCCCTTTCAAGTTTCACTTTCATTTCATGAAAAGACGGTTAGTCAGATTGAATGTAATATTACCGGTGTGTGGTTTTAATTAGCTGTTCAGTATTGCGCAGCTACCAGCGAACAAACTGCTGCCCTACCCTGTGCCGACCTGTTTAGCCTGTTCTTTGCATGCCTTAGGCTAAAGTGGTATTACTTCTGTCTTCATCAGGAAATAGCTCTATCGTGACTAACCTCTGAAAATTACAGCTTTGAAGTGTCAGTAGTTCAAATTTCTCACTTTGGATTGAGCTCTGAATCCAGCTTTTAGACTGATATTGTCTCATTTTTAGACAGACAGCGTATGTAATACCAACATTTTGGTCCAAGTTTGTTTAATTGTGGATTTAATTTCAACATAAAATAGTGTGATTTTATTATTTTTGTCCAAGTTGTTATGTCTCCTGAAGGCCTCACTTGCTTCTGGAGTTCTAACGTGTAAAATTCTGAATTAACTGTAATTTAACATGATTTTGTCTTAAAAATGACTCTCGGTACAATGAAACAATAAATCTTTGCTCACATTTACAGGCTATCTTGTCACAGTCTTCTTTTAATGCTAACAGTCTTTTCTATTTTTTGCATTTCCTTTAATTTTCTCTTGCATAATAACGGTGCTGTTTAGCTTCATACCAAATGTGGTTTTGTGCACGTACATATTTTTCTGTTTGAAGAAAATCCAATGATGTTTTTGATTGCTTCCTCACCAGTCTCAGGCGTGGCCGGTGTTAATGAGTGGAGAGGACCTGATCGCCATCGCTCAGACGGGAACAGGGAAGACGCTGGCCTACCTGCTGCCAGGGTTCATTCACATGGATGGACAACAAGTGTGCGTACAGGATCAGTTGATTACTTTTCAGCACGTTTTTTCCACCTTAAGGCACCCTGATGTGTAATTGGTGTCATTTTCTCATATAGTAAAAGCACAGTTTGTTTTCATATCGTACAGATCTAAGCAGTGAATATAATGATGCATGTTTATTTCCTAAACTCTTTTTGTCTTGTCTTACCTGACAGCCCTAGAAGTGAGCGCGGTGGTCCAGGCATGTTAGTGCTGACTCCTACCAGAGAGCTGGCGCTGCAGATTGAGACGGAGTGTAACAAGTACCGCTACAAGGGTTACAAAAGGTCACAAGTCACTAAGGATGATTTTAAAATCAATTAATACTTCCAGTATAGATCCAACATGTTAATGACTGTTGCTTTCTCTCAGTATCTGTATCTACGGCGGAGGTGACAGGAGAGGCCAGATCAACCTGGTGAAGGGCGGGGTGGACATAGTGATAGCGACACCGGGCCGACTGAATGACCTACAGATGAATGAGCTCATCAATCTGCGCTCCATCACCTACTTGGTCAGCTGTTTGTCTGCATGCACTTGTTTTGTTGAAAGTTAGGATTGTTCAACTGTCTATGATGAACCTGCTTTTAGTTCATTGACTGTTTTTTTTGTCTTGAAATATCTGTGAACAAGCTGTTGTCAGTGGGTTTGTGCAGGTCTTAAATTTTGCAGAAACTAGAAAAAGTCCTTGCTTGGTTTTTACGTTATTTGTGTGGGAGAACAGCTGTTGTTCTCAATATTGCTCTGATCATTGGGGAAAGGTGCTTGACGAGGCCGACCGTATGCTAGACATGGGCTTCGAACCTCAGATTATGAAGATTCTTCTGGACATCCGGCCAGACCGACAGACCGTCATGACCAGGTACAATTTAAACAAACGGTCATTACGTGATTAACAGAATTCCTGAGATCCAGTGTAAAACCAGCCAACGATGGTTAGTGTCCATCACAGTCTGTTGAAAATGTCACAACACACACATGTAAGAACCTCTAGAGATATGTTTCATCATAAATAAAAACTGATTGATGTCCATAGTGAAGTTATATATGATCTGCCTTGTAATATTATAAAAAAGGGAGCTTGTACAGAAAATTCTGTTCCGACAGAGATTGTCTTCGAGGTGTTGCAGAGTGCTCAGTTTAGATGTTAAAAAAGCGTCCTGTTTTGGTTGTTAACTTTGATGTTTCAGTGCCACCTGGCCCACCGGTGTGAGACGTTTGGCCAAATCCTACCTAAAGAATCCCATGATGGTCTATGTGGGCACCCTGGACCTGGCAGTAGGTGGAATGTATTCAGTCTTTTGGTACATGTGTTAACTGTCTACGTGTTTTTGATGATGGTGTGTGTGCAGTATAAGCACAAACATTTTAACGCTTAACTCAGGCATTTCTCTGTTATTTAGCCTTTGTGAAAAAAACTTTATTTCTATTTTTTTTTTTTGCCCCCCTTGAGTTTTATTTAGATGTTTTGCGTTCACATTTTAAATATGTGTTCATGCTATCTGTGTTTCTCTGGGTCTCAGGCAGTTAACACGGTGCAGCAAACGGTACTGATCGTTCATGAGGAGGAGAAAAAGGCCTACGTGTTTGACTTCATCAGAAACATGCTGCCCCAGGATAAAGTCCTCATCTTTGTTGGCAAGAAGCTTATGTGAGTGTCGAGCTGCTTGTAAACGAGGGCCACAGATGTTTGCAGATGCCAGTCAGATACACACTGACATCAGCAGTTATTCCTACCTAGAACAGTTTCCAATGTGTATGCTTGTGCTTCGATTTGTATTTGATATTAGGGCTGACGACCTCTCCAGTGACATGTGTCTGCAGGGTCTGGCTGTGCAGAGTCTCCATGGTGACCGTGAGCAGTGTGACCGTGAAGAAGCTCTCAAGGACTTTAAAGAGAGTACGTGAGATTTCAAAGCCTCCAGCAGAGGATTCAGAAATTTCACGTTAAGCTGGTGTTCTTGCTTTTGCCTACAGACTGTGCATGTATAAGCTGAAGCACCTAATTGACAAGAGAATGTGCTTGTAGGTCGAGTTCGTATCCTGGTCGCCACAGATTTGGCGTCTCGAGGTTTGGATGTCCATGACATAACGCATGTCTTTAACTTTGACTTCCCGCGCAACATAGAGGAGTACGTGCATCGCGTGGGCCGCACCGGCCGAGCAGGGTAAGGGTGTGTGGGCATAATGACTGCTGCATTCTTCTGGGGTCACAGGATTGAAGGTATCACCAAAGTCTTGCTGTTGTTGAGTCAGATTGTCATGTTGTTGTGTTTTTCTCTCAGACGTTCAGGTGCTGCTGTTACCCTGGTAACAAGAGATAACTGGAGAATGGCCCCTGAGCTGATTCCCATCCTGGAGCGAGCAGGACAGGTTAGCACAGACATGTGTTCACACAAAGTGTTATTATAATTAAGTATGTTTCAAGCTATTATGTATTCTGAATCTGTATTTTGCACTGAGCCTATGATTCTGTTTCATGTTTTCCTGCTAAGAACAGCATACGTCCTTGAAGATAATGTGGCCGGTGAGAACCGGTTCACACACTTGGAGATAGCGGAAACTCCTCTATTCTATCAGATACGATTGTTACTTTAGCTACACGCCGTACCAACAACATCCACACATGTTGCTTACCAAATGTCAAGGACGTGGACAGAGCGCAGAAGAGGTGTGCATGTCCACGCCATTGGTAACTGGCCAGTTAAACTCGGGAGCGCACAAATCTTACCTATGTTCAGGGCAGGCCAAGAAGATATCTGTAACCTGGAGCCGAAAAAACTCAGTTCAGCTGGACATGAGATTCTTCTCTGTCCCTCTGAATCCAGCGCTGCAAAACTTTACCTGTGACCTAAATAAATTCTACATCTGAGAACTGAAGATTTCTCCGACTTGTTCTTGGGCTTCCAACTAAAGAATCGGGTCTAACGATGTTTGTGATGAAAAGTCCATTGAAAGTATGAATGTCAGGCATCCAGTGTATACCTTGTGTTGTTATACAGTCAATAGGAGTTTCTTTTAATAACAAGTAAACTGCAGAAGGCTTCTTAGGGTATTATTACATAGGACACGATTACAAAATGGCTTGTTTGATCTTAATCTGTTGATTTTGGGGTTTGTTTTTTCTTATATAAATCAATTAATGACACTAGATAATAAAAATTACAATAGATTTAGGTTTATTTCAGAGATTGTATGTGCAACCAGCAAGCTGAGATGAATAGTTGAATCAGCGCGTTATGGTCGACTTTTAATCTGTCATATTTTAAATGGATCTACTGTGACTTTGTAATGTTTTAACTGAACTGAATCCTGCTGCAGGAGGTCCCCGAGGAGCTGATCCTCATGGCAGAGAGATACGAGAAGCACAAGAGGGAAAAGGACATGCGCGATCCAAGGGGAGGACAGGGACGAGGAGGAGGTGGTGGAGGAGGAGGAGGATGGGGGAGAAGAGATGGCGGAGGAAGAGGCGGCAGGGATCGCGGCCAGAACTGGGGATTCTGATACATGACTGTTGGTGTAAGTCTGCATAATGTTTCCTACACAGGTTAACAAAAGGGCTCGTGTATGGAGGTATGAGTGGACAGATAGTTACTTAAATGCCACACTTGGACACAGAAGAGTGAGTGGATGGTTATTAGATAATTTAATTTGTGTGGTATAATTAATCTGATTCAAATGTAATAATGTTCTCATGCTTTTTTCTCAACAGGGTGAAGCGGGATCTGAAACTGCCTGTGCTGTCCTTTCTTTTGAGTGTACATTTCAGTTCATTCTATTTTGTTTGCAAAGTTTTTTGTTTTGTTTTATTTTTTTGTGGGACTCATTATTTGGTGGCAGATAGACCTCTTAGTGTTGTCCTCTCATTTTAAACATGTTTGAAACTCACAATTCTAACAATTCTTTTTCTGTCTGAAACTCACCAATTTAATCTGTTCTGTTGATCACTCAGAGTATGTTGTTGTGTAATTTGTTGATTGGGGCAGAAAGAGGCCTGTCTAATAAATTCTCATTTTAGAGACTTGACACCGAGTGTATGATTTATTGGCTCGGTGAGTTGAAATGTTGATTGCGTGATGTTGTAATGATTGAAACACCTTTGCACCTCCTCCTTACCTTTCACCCTGGAAGATGTCGAAGGTAAATGTTATTTTAATTATAATTTTAAAAAAGGGAAAGAATAAAGTAGGCAGCTCATTAAAAAAAACAATTTATTCTACAGGAGGTGTTGTCCTCCGTCAAGTTCAAGAAGCTGTCTGCAGTGCGTGACAGGAAGTTCTTTTGGTCTGCTGACCATGTAAGTGTTAGTAGAAGAGATCTGTTGACAAAAAAGTCTTAGTCACAGCTCTAGATTTCCTGTAAAAATATGTATTTCACAATCATCACAATTATTTTTTTGCTTAGTAGCCTTTCTCCCCCTACTGAGACGCACCATTCTAGCTAAATGTGAAACACATGTCTGGAGTCTGTCAGCATTTCTAGTAAGGAAGCTGTGTAACCGAGGAAAATAAACATGTAAGAAATCTTGCTTTCCCTGCACATTCCCAGGTTTAACAACTTCAAGACACAGACCAGGGTTTTTAGTTTTTTTACACAGCGTGTGATTTATTAATTACTTCTTGGCCCTTTCCTTTCTCAACAAAAGCCACCTGCAAATTATGAATCAAAGTTCAGCAGTTTATTGGAACCTCAGAGCCGAGCAATGCCCAGAGCAACAAACAGGTGTTCACTGATCAGGAAACTTCCCTAACAGATGGGAAGTCTCTAACCAAAGTTCCTGAACCAGAAATGAAGTAAGAGAAGCAAACAAAAAGGGTTTTCCTCCCTCTGAACTGCTACCAGGTGATCAATATATACACTAAACTATTCATAATGTACAAGCTAACACAAATCTATCAGATTGAGCCCATGTTTGGACACAAGACCAACCAGCTGTCCAAAATGTTTTATTTTAATCCACTAACAACTGTCAGGAGAAGACACAGAGCTGAGTGTTGGCTCATTTTTCAATGTGGTAGAGGTGAGAAGTAGAGCGCCACAGTTTGGAGAAAATATCTAGTTGTGATTTGAATTGACTCAGATTATTATTTAAGAGTCGAGCTTATAAGATAAAGTCATAACTGGGTCAGATGTGCTTTAAAAAAGTTGGTTTCAGTGAAGTTTAATTTAATAAGGTTCCTGTCATCCATTTGTCCAGAGGCAGCAGTTTCTTTGAATGAATGAATGAGTCAATCACGGGACGCCACCTGTTTCATCAGCAGCAAAATGACTCATTCATTCCCTGGGAAGTAATGGCAGAGAGAGATTCAACACTGCACTTTGTTTTCCACAGCACTGCAGGGTGTTTTACTTTTGACTACTTTCTACCCTCTGGGCAGCCGTTGATTCATTTTCATTTGAGCACAATATTACAACCAATTCAGAAACTGTTCAGACTTATCGTTTTACTAACTCCGTTGTTCCAAAGTAAAGCAGGTGGAGGCTCACTTTCCATTTCAAGGTCATGTAAGGTGATAAGTTTAAATATATCTCACAGTCGTTTTTCACACTCGGCTGAAACAAACAGAAGCTTGTATGTGCTGACTTAACGTTGCTTTTCGTTTTTATTTTGCAGATTGACTTCTGCTACATCAGCTGCTGTCGTGTGTGTGTGTGTGTGTGTGTGTGTGTGTGTGTGTGTGTGGACGCCGTTTACCTCAGCTGCTCTACAGGCGTGATTTAAAGGTACATTTCCTCCTATATATGACTTGCTTTGGCTTGATTAGCACATGAGAAAAGCATAAAACGAATATTATGCTCATCAAGTAATAGCTGTGTTTCCTTATTCTTCCTTTTAAATTCTAATTTAGTAATTAGTTATCATCATATTTAGAGCTAGCCAATCAGAACATTTGCTTCTTTAAAGCAGAGACATCTTAAAATTAACTGCTGGCAGGAGACAAAAAGGCAAACATAAGTAGAATAAGTAAATAACAAAAGTAAAAGTGCAGCTTCATTGTGGTGTTCAGTTTTGATAATTATTCAGTACTCAAACCAGTTAACTGGCAGATTCGACTGTTTTATTTGTCTTTTAATGTCGTGCTTCCTGCGGTGGGTTCACAAACTATTTAGTGAGAAAGACAAAAAGCCAAAGTACGAGCAAATATATTTATCAAAACAGGTTTCCATTTGAACAACTTAGCTAAACAAAACAATGGAAAAAATACTTTAAAAGACATAAATGCTCTCCTAATTTTACTTGAGAGCACCCTGAGTTTAGCTTCTCAGTTTCTTCTTGGATGTTTCGAACACTGTGAGGCTGGTACACTTTCAATCCAAACACTTTCGGAGTTGTTGCTCGAAAATAGGGAAGCCCTTGAGGCGCTCCTCCTTGATACAATCAGCCAGAATTTTGCACTTCTTCTTGCCGGGACCCGAGAGCAGGTTCTGACTGGGTATGAAGAAGTTGGGGAGTTCAGCCTTTTCTAGGTGGCCTTCGAAGTCCTGCAGCAGCAGATGGAAACAGTGGCTCAGGTCCGAGGCCTTCCACTCGCTGTCTTTAGTTCTGGAGCAGCAGGCGTGAAAGAGCGTCGTCTTGGCGTGGTAGGAGCAGAACTTGCCCAGTGAAGGGTTGCTTTCCTTCAGCAGGCTCAGAAGGTGCTTCAGGAGCTTCAGACTGTCCTTCCTGTGTGTGAAGAGAAAGCAGCAGGACGTTAGTGAATACGATGATGGCTTCAGGGTGTGTGAAGGTCTTAGAAGCCGTGTTTCTGTAAAGGACTTTTATTTTGAAGTATCACATTAGAAAAAGTTAATTAAAATGGTTTTAACGTTCTCTCTTGAGGCAGTTTTTCACTTTTTAAACCGTAGTTAGTACACATAGAGGGGAGATGGAGTTCTGAGATAGAACGCATTTAACACTCAGACCATTCACACCTGCACAATATAGAGTTCTAGTCATTGTGTCCTGTCTGTCAGGAAAACATGTTACAGTGTGGTATCATAAAAAGAGATCACTTCCTTTCAGTAACATAAGCGTTATTAGGGATTCTAGGGCCGTGTACTTCTCTCAATACTATCTGTGTCGCAACAAAGTTCAGTTCTTTTCTATCTTTGCCAGTAACAACAAAACATTTCCTCCTAATGTCAGACTTTACTTGCTTTTGTGGTGTAAACAAAACCTGCTTCAGTCTTTTAAACTTCATCAGTTTCCTCCATCGCTCTGGTTAGAGTTAAATCCCAGAACTCACAGTTTGTTCCTTTAAATCGCCTAAGCTTTTGTCAGTGGGGTCTTCTGCTTGGAGGTTCTTCTTCACACAATAGCTAGGATTTTGTTTTTTGCACAAATCTAAATTAACTAAAACACTTTGTTGGTTAATCTGTTTAATCCAGGTCACAACAAATAGTTAAGTGCTGCTGGGAAGCACTGTAAAAATGTGGCCAAAATCTGGACTTCAAAGTCTCCCATTTAACTTCCAGAATCCTTGGATTTTGATTAAGTTCATGCAAACTTTTGTTTTCACTTTAAACACAAGTTTTCTAGAAATCCAACCTGCAGCAGGACGCTCCCTCTTGTTCACAGCACGTCTTGTCCGACCCGTGGTTCTTCAGAATGGCCTTCTCAACATGAGAGAATGAAACTCGCCAAATATCTGCGTGTTGCAAAACACAGACACATTATTATAAATGCAGGGGATGCATACGTGGGTTTGTCACAACAGGATCAACTCAAGAGATGTGATAGTATTGAGCTTGTGTGAGATTGTGACAGCTATCCTAAATGTGCACTGCATGACTAAACCACCCTCCATAGCCTGTCAGCACTCAGCTTCCTTTTCATGTTTTATGTCTTCTACTTCTTTTGAGCGATGCAGACAGAACAAATACCTTCCCTGTTATGTGCAGACAGTGTGCATGCAAACAGAGCAGTGGGACATCTCTAGTTAATCAGATTTTAGCTCACCGGCAGGTTAAACTTACCTTTAGCAAGTACTCCATCTTCGTTTTCCACGTTACCCCTGCCTTCGTATTTTGGGACAAGATAATAATGCTTTAGCCTGTAGTCCCGCCTCACTTTAGCTCCAAGCCAGCGCTCTACTTTAAAGCCTTCTGTTGTGAAAGACGGCCAGCTTGATTTAACTTGAAGACAGAGAACAATATCCAGGGAAATAACCACTGATTGGACTTCTGTGGTCAGGGTCACTGCGGGGCAGCCTGCTTTCTTTCTCGTCACCCGCCATTCTGAAAGAACAAACAGAATCATTCAAATGTTCTCTATTAATTTATTGTTTATGCGCTGGGCTGCAAGGTGGCTCAGTGGTTAGCACCGTCGCCTCGAAGCTAGAAGGTTACCGGTTCTTGTCCCGGTGAGGACACCCGGGATCTTTCTGCGTGGAGTCTCCATGTTCTCCCCGTGCAGCGTGGGTTCTCTC